GCTGTGACTCAAGTGGTAGAGCGCTAGCCTTGAGCTGAAGAGCTGAGGGACAGCGCCCAGGCCCAGAGTTCAGGCCCCATGACCGGACCCAAAAAATAAATAAATAAATAAATAAATATATATATATATATGTATATATATACATACTGTAAAGATACTGTACAGAGGGGTTACAGTTACATGAGTGAGGTAATGAGTACATTTCCTATAGAGCATTGTTCCCCCCTCCTTTGTTTTCCCCCTGTGTTTTTTTTTCTGTGTCTCCGTCTCTTGTAGAGATTCCAATTAAGAGTGGAATTATTCTTTCAGTGACGACAGGGAGTACAAGCAAAGCCAGGAAATACCAGCTCACACTCACTAGGAGGGCTGTAATAAGACACAATAAGTTCTGACAAGAATGTGGAGAAACTGGAACTCTCAGACACTGTTTGCTGGAATGCAACTTGGCAGTTTTTCAAAGTGTTACACACCAACTCATCCCTCTCCTCTATCTCCATGCCAGGGAATGAACCCAGGATCTTGAACATGCCAAGCATACACTCTACCACTGAGCTGACTCCTCTCCTCTTTCCGTGTGCCTCTTCCACATCTACCAGCTCTGCACTTTTCTAGAGAATTCCATGCTCTCATCTTCTATTCATCTTTTTATTATGATTTTTTTTTTGTCAGTCATGGGGCTTGAACTCTGGGCTTGGGTGCTACCCCTGCACTCTTCAGCCCAAGGTGAGCACTCTACCACTTGAGCCACAGCACTAGTTTCAGTTTTCTAGTGGTTAATTGGAGGTAAGAGTCTCATGGACTTTCCTACCTGGGTTAGCTTTGAATCACAATCCTTAGATCTCAGCCTCCTGAGTAGTTAGGATTACATGTGTGAGCCACCGGCACCCAGCTTCTATTAATTTTTTTTTTTGGGTCCAGTCATGGGTCTTGAACTCTGGGCCTGGGCGCTGTCCCTCAGCTCTTCAGCTCAAGGCTAGCACTCTACGCTTCTATTAATTTTTATCTTGACAATATAATGTTGATCTTTCCTGTGTCTTTTCCCTTAAAAATCTTGCTGAGGTTGGGCATTGGTGGCTCACATCTGTAATCCTAGCTATTCAGGAGGCCGGGATCCTAGGATCACAGTTTGAAGCCCGCCTGGTCATAAAGTCCATGAGATGCATCTCCAATCAACTACCAAAACATCTGGAAGTGGAGCTGTGGCGCAAGTGGTAGAGTGCTAGCCATAAGCAAAAAGCAGCTCAGGGACAATGCTCAGGCCCTGAGTTCAAGCCCCAGGACTGGTACAAAAAAGCTGGAAGTGGAGCTGTTGATCAAGTTGTAGAGCTTTAGCCTTAAACATAAGAGATCAGTGACAGTGCCCAGACCCTGAGTTCAAGCTCTAAGAGTGGTGTACATGTACACGCACACACACACACACACAATCTTGATGAATAAATCAGAAAGAATCCAGTCCTTGAATTGGAAGTGTGGCTGTGGTAGAGTACCAGCCACAAGTGGGGATGAAGAATCCAACTGAACTGCATTCCTGGACACAACATAAAAAATTATTACTTAGAATTATTCAATGTCCACCTAACCCTGAATTGTAATCACTTAGAAACAATCCTTAAGCCTTTAGACACTGATATTTTAGTATCATTGTTTTGAGTACATTATGAAATCCTGAGTAACAGTCTTACATAAACAAGAGGCTCATTATCTACAGTACTCTTATTTTCCTGTACCAGGCAGTGTGAACACTTGAAAAGATGCCATCTTTGCAAGATCCCAGTTTGTTTTTCTAGCTAACAAACCATGCACATACACCTACTATATATATGATCTTAAAATTATCTTTTTAGAGCTGGGATCTGGTAGCTCACACTTGTAATCTTAGCTACTCAGGAAGCTGAACTCATCTGAGAATCACTATTCAAAGCCAGCCAGGGCAAGAAAGCCTGTGAACCTCTTACCTTCAATTAAAAAAAAAAAAAGGCATTCTGTTGTTTTGTATGTCCCTCCCCCACAGTATAACCCCTGCTTTCACTGTATTTGATGATGGTATAATTTGTGGAGGAGAAGGGAAAAAACAAATCATTTAAGTAGGGATACAGGTAGACCCATTGCAATAAGGAGATGTACAAGTTGTTATGTAGAAAAACGAACTTTACAACTTTGGGTGGGGGTGGGAGGGGTGGGAAGGCAAAACAAAGGAGGAGGCAACAATGCTTGATAAGAAATATAATTACCTTGCCTATGTAATTGTAACCCCTCTGTACAGTATTTTCACAATAAAAAAAA